ATTTAATAAAATCCAGAATAATCTTACCTAGAAGTTATTCATCTGTGACCACAAACTTCAAAAATACACGGAGAATGAGAGGATAAAGAGAATGAAATAATGTACATAGGTTATGGGATGTAACATATGAAAAACAGATGCCTAAAATGAACCAATCGCAATCAACTCAAAATAGAATCAAGAAAGCATTGCCATTAACTTTTTTCCAGCTTCAATAATATTTCTCCATGTTGGATTTATTAATGGAATCATTCTGAGTTATTAGCAATGAATGTCTAAGATATGGCAACTTTCACTTAATGTTTTTCAATCTTTAAGCCACCATATAAAGAATCACGTGTCTTATTTGTGAGACATGATGCTCTGCAATTTGTTTAAAAGGAAACATATCATACAAAATCAAATTATTTTAATAACTTAATCTATACCAAATTAATTTAAAAAGTTTTAACATTTAATAAGTTATAATACATCATTACAGAGCAAAAAGGTTTTACAGAAACTAGATAAAAATAGATTTATGGTTTTATAAAAAGGTTAACTTATAGTATACTTTTGTAGTGAGTACAACTATTTGTTCTCTTTTAACTTCAAAACTTGCCATTAAGATTATATTAAGTGACGAATACCTGTCGATATTTTCTCTGTGTTCTTTCGAGCTATTTAAGAAATAAATTACCAATAAAAATGGGACAATATCATAATTTTAGTTTGCTGAATGAGTCTTATAGTAAGTTTAAACAATAAAGAATATAAATTGACAAAAAGCTATTAATACCGATATTAAGTAGATGAAACGCCTGTTTCGCTTGTGATTCCTTTTCTTGTGCAGGTAGGTTAAGGCTTCCCGTAGAATATCACAGTGCACTCTGTACCTTCACATCTCTGAACTACCAAAATATGACGTCATAATGGAAAATGACGTCAAGTCACTGCAAACTTGAGGTGATAAGACGGGGAGAGTGTCATGAACTTAACACTTTATTTCAAACTGCATGTAAAATGCTAGATAGCTATTGCAAAATTCACGGGTCGTTAAAGGTTTTTTAAGACATATGTCCGAATATTTTAAAAATACACCGCGTACCTACCCTTGATAGAAATTCAGCATGTTCAAAATGCTTATGAAAAATATACTTTTGAAATGTACTCGGTTTTATACCCGTGGTTGGAGGTAGAATTTATTTTGTGTGTATAAAAGGGTCTGGCGCAGGTGATTAATGAGGATTAATCTGAGAATTTTTGTGGAAATCTGTAAGAAGAGGTTGTTCTCTAACTGAATCTTGCTTGGGAAAAATGTTTGTTTGTATGTTGTTTAACGTCCCTCTCGAGAATTTTTCACTCATATGGAGACGCCACCACTTGCCGGTGGAGAAATGCAAATTTTGTCCTATGCTCGGCACTTACAGCCATTGAGCAGCGAGGGATCTTTTTCGTGCCAGCACCTACTGCGACACGGGACCTCGGTTTATACGGTCTCATCCGAAGGACTGGTCTCCACGTCCCACAGTGGGATTCGAACCCGCGACGTAAGGATCAACTCCTTACTTCGCGACTCTAGAGCAGACGCTCTAACCACTGCGCCACGCGGGCGACCTGGGAAAAATGTGTGTTAGCTTTGTTTTAATACAGATTACGATATTGTGTGGAAGATACCCTCAAATTTGTAGGTAAGTTGAATTTCTCAGGATATATTTTGTATCTAAGTAATACTATGACTTTTCCCAAGCACACTTCGGATACACAAGGATACGATGAGTTTATTTATACAGAAAATGTTAATAATAATTGTGTTAATCACCTGCGCCGAAGCGATTTATATGAAACACTTCATTATAAATGACCGTCACATGATCAACAAAGTCATGTGATATAACAAATATGTTAATATATAGCCGAGGAAACCTCTATATTAATTGGAAGTACTCAAGTTTAATACTTATAAATTAAAACCAAAACCGACCTCGCAATGACATATGTTTTGAGCGCGTTTTAAAGCTTCGGGAAGCCTTAACATAGTTGCGTGAAGTACGTAGTATTTCGTTTGAGTATCAAACGAATGGGACATATGACCAGCGACTATTCTTCGGATGCTGTCAGGATAGCCGCTTACCTAAAATGGGTATATATAACCGTTAATGAAAGCCAAGTACTTATAATACCAAACTTCTATGAAAGAGAGAGAGAGAGAGTTTCAATTTACCACAGTGGCAGAAAATTGTCTAAAGCTTGTGGCTGACACAGGTTTTGTCCAGTTTGCTATCCTGCAACACCGGCTTAAGTCCTGATTTACTGTAGAACTTGTCATCTGTCGACCAGATGTTGTAAGGAAGAAAAAGTTCTCGCATTCCTCTGGTCGCCATTTAACAAATTCTCTCATTTCTTCTACCAGGGATCTTTCAAGGACAATATGGGCATCTCCATACGTCTTTGAGGTTTTAAGTTGTTTCACCTTCAAAATAAAGGTATTACAATGTCGTGAAATCTACAACGCGGATATATAATACAAAGCAGTTCTCGCTTTAATCTAGAAGTAGATTTTTCAACTTGCACCAAAATATGCAAACCAGACCATGGCACACCTCTCTCCTTGAAAATGAATGCGAAATATCTTAAGGGTCTTTGTGAAATTGGTGTATAAAATTTTGTAAAAAAAAAAAAAAAAAAACATATAAAGAATGAAATAATAATTAGTGAAGTGTGTATTCACTATACGGTCTATCGCTAAAATTGAAGACCCGAACAATAACAACAATATAGTAAATTATCCTGATTATTGATACATGTTGTTACACAAACAGTTTTCAATAATATATGGTATACAAAATTTATGCTAATAGTGCTGGATTCCTTAATTTCTTTTAAGTATGAGGCCGAAAATGTAGATTTTAATATACCGGGTATTTACATGTACCTTTATGATAGCTAATCCTTCCGGGTAGTCCTTCCGGCTTTTAAATTGTGAAACAGTCATGTTAATGACTGCTCCACATCTTTGCCCGTTGGACACCAGTGTCTTATATATGAGTATGGCTCGTACAGAGATGTAGTCCTTTCGGTCCATTTTTTTTTTTATATTCGACGACATTCTTTTGAAGTCCGATGAATTCATGATCTTTTGTATTATATTTGATGGGATAAGGTCGTCTAAACCAAAAAAAACCCCCAAAATAACATCTATTTATATTTATCTAAAAGAAGCGATACAGAGAGAAACAAAGAGAGAATACAATTATACAACCGCCAAATTTGTACCTACCCATTTGCTTTTCTTTTAGTTCAGTTATTCTGACTTTTCTCTCTGATGTTGCCTTCATCCACTCATCCAGGGAAGCAATGGTGTTCGTAACAGTATCAGTACATATACTGTCATCCGAAAGAGTCGCCAGTTTCTGCGACAGCAGGAACTTTAAAAAAACGCTTTTAAAGCGTGGAGTGAAGAGTTTAATGTTCCTGCTGCACAACTCTTGATGTTTTGCTTCATTTTCTTGAAGGCTGGCAGAAACCAGGACTCTTCCAGACGCCTATTCGGTGTGTCTTCGTCTGTTGTTGCTGAAAAAATAAGGCCCCTTTGAAGTTCCTGTAGAATTCGAATGCCCGAAAGGATGAGTGCTATGCCATTTTAGCCGAGTCTGGCATGATCTTTGGCCTTTACGCATTGACTTGCAGTAATATCATGTGCAGCCTTGATCTATATGGAATACTGATAAAGACCTCATCCAAGCTTGTAATAAAATGTTTTAACTACAAATGCGGGAATTGAAACTGTAAAAAGACAGGCGGGCCGAAACATAAAAGACATATAGCAAGGGAACCAAATGCTATGTGCATGATTTAAGATCATAGAAATAACATATTAAAAACTGATCAAAACAATTGTTTTGTAAGCAGAAATATACGAAATCCAGCGATTGAAGTTAATGCAGTCTTGTTCTTACCAGGACGGAATAAATCGATCCAAGTGATTTTCAATTCTTTTAATATGTTTCTGGCTATTTAAGCGTATTGCTGTGAGGTTGCCTCCGTTTTTGCTCCACCTGAGGTTTTTTTTAAAGGTATTCCTCAAGCTGCTCATAATCATCGTCTTGTTTGGGATCTTTGAAAAAGATGAAGAAAAATTGGGAAAAAAAAGGGTGTTCAGGAAATTGAAGTAAATAATTGTGCGCTAATTTGGTTTAAACTGCCTACATTTTCTCTTTTCCGGTATGTCTCTAAAAGATCAACTGCCCACTTGTACTCAGATGAAAAATGTAACAATGATTTGTAGCTTTTAACAGTAATACACATAATCACCAGGCATGTTTCATATAAAAGCTATATGAACACAAGTGTTAAGAACTTGAAATAGGCTGCTTATACAAGGTACACGCAAGGTCGAAAGGTCAAATTTGTTGGTATCCAAAGGAAGGCCTTGTTACAAAGAATACACATGTGAAGTTTGAAACCCCAAGCCCCAACTGTTCAGAAGTTATGGCCAACGTTAAAGTCTCATAAAATCTTGCAAAATTGGCTAACTCCAAGGTCAAATATGATGGTACCCAAAGAAAGGTCTTGTCACAAGGAATACACATGTGAAATATGAAAGTCATAGCTCCAACCAATCAAATGTTATGGGCAAGGTTATAGATCACAACAGACAGACAAACAGACAGGACAAAAACAAAATACCCCGGGATCTTTCGATCCAGGGGCATAAAAACTTGATGAAGATTCAGTGAAATTTTATGCCCGAGTTCTACGAGATAATAGCTTTTTTCCCTTCTATCAAATAACAGATTATCAAGAAAGAGGTATTACAACACAGAAAGAGAGCAGAAAGAATCCAGCCAATTACTCCAGTCTGATCATTAACAACATGGATTAATCTCAAATCAACTTGCCAAGATTTCCTGAGAATTTCCAAGAGAAACTGACCACCGCATATGATTCATTATTGCTGCGATCACTAATAAACTCAAATAATTAATGCATAATGATAATAGTAGTAATAATAATGTAGGAGGAGATGCACGGTGTGACTCCCCAGGATATTCAGCCAAGTATGGCACCTACACCATCATGGAACTTGAGAGGAATAAGATTCTTGATTTTCAGCTTGTGCAGGTAAAATTTAACATACAGATCTAGACAAATTGCGGAGTTAAGACTTATTTATTTTAATTGATTAAAAGTATATCATCACAACCCTTAACATTTATGCTTTAATTTTTTTCCGGAGTAATGAAGTAAAGGGGTCTTCCCATATGGAGCTGGCTGGCTTAAAAAGAGCCATGGGATTCCTGAAAGATCATGTCAACATAACAACCCTAGTGACAGACAGGCATTCCATGGTTAAAAAGCAAATGAGAATTTTTCATCCAGACAAAAATCATTATTTTGATGTGTGGCACATTGCAAAAGGTAACTTATTGAAATTGATTTTATGATTGGAATCTGCTTAGCAATGTTTGACAGCTTATTTCATAGCTCATTTACTCTCTTTTTATATAATGTAGGTGTTTCCAAAAAACTTGAAGCAGCATCAATGAAGGTCAATGGACATCAAATCCGACCATGGATAAAGTCAATTGCCAACCACTGTCATTGGACAGCTTCATCTTGTGATGATGGTGGGGAACTCAAACAAGCAAAGTGGAAATCGATTGTGAACCACATTGCTAACCAACATGAAAATCACTCCCCTCAATATCCTAGATGTGAGCATGCCCCAATTGCAGATAGCAGACAGTGGATCAAAGAAGGTAATATTAATAATTGTTCTATTTGAAATAATGTTCTCATTTATCTCAATATTTTGAATTAGTAGAACATTGATAAATTGTAACTTCTGTTTTGATTGCAGGCTCTGTTCCACACAAATTAATGAAGGATATAATCCTCAGCCCCTTCCTTTTAAAAGACATTTCCAAACTTTCACCAACTCACAAGACGTACAGCCTCGAGGTGTTTCACTCTTTTGTGAACCACTATGCACCGAAGAGCACTCATTTTTACTATCCTGCTATGCTTGCAAGGTATATATGCTAACATTAATTACTTGTCAAAAATATTTAATCTTATAGGATCTATTTTGCATTTGATATTTTTATGCATCATAAATTTGTATATTTTTAAATTTAAGGTTGAGTTTTCAATGAAAATAGCAGTAGACAACAGGCAATGACAAAGGCTGGTGAGCTGCAATATGCAGTGTCTTATCCAAAGGCCAAGAAAGGACTGGAGGCAGTTGTAAAACCTAAGAAAATTCCTCCAACATTAAGTGAGTAGAAAACTATTTTACTTGTCAATGAACACACTACTTGTAAATATTGTATTAATTTGTAAAGTTTCTTTTCAATTTCTTTTTTTTTTTTAGATTAGGTGACCTTGATTAAGCAGGCTGTCCATGAACGGAGAAGTGTTGAATGTCCTTCTTACCGATGGGCTGCTGATGATATTGCAGTGCTAAATCAAGATGTACCACTGCCGCTTACTCAAAACTTTTGAACATTTTGAAAAGGCTGCTTTGATACGTAGACATACTTCAAGATTTATTCGAACATAATACTTCTACTGCATTGGACTATGTTTACGTTTATTTAAAAAATTATAAGATATTGTGTACTGTAAAATGTACATTCTTCATACATATAATTATCTTGCATGTTATTACTGACAATATAATTTACCAAGATGTATTATTTTGTACAATGAATAGATATTTCACGTGGAATATTTGAACCCACAATAATGTTCTGAGGGAAATGCTTCTCGTATCTTTGTAACTACACATGCAGGCAAAATTTCCCTGTGTTTTTTCCCAAGGAAATGCCATATCCATCTCACAAATCTTCTGTATGTAAATTAACTGTAGATTCTGAAGCAAGAAAAAATTTACAATTTATAAGAAATATTTGTTGATTACAGAAAGAGTAATTAAATGGAATTAAATTTCATATTTCATTGTCATAATGTTTTGTGTTTCATGAAGTTAAAAGAATAACATACTCATGAGGAGGTTGGCTATCATCTAAAGGTCCCACATTCTGCAGGTATTCGTATACATTGAAACGTACAAAACATGTCTATTTAGGCAATTAGCAGTAAATATAGGACTCTCAGTTATGCACTGGTGGTCCCCTGTCTCCGTTTCAGCCTGGACTGCTCCTATTTCTTTACAGCAAATGCGCTCCTCTACTGTTGGTATAGAGATGCATAATCCACACTCGCACCTGTGTTACACAAAACTAATGTACTTAATTCAGTGCTATCAATAGTTTTGCAGAATGCATTCATTGATGTAAGATGGTCCATCACTTTTAACAAAGTAATTTTGTATATGTTCTTAAACGTGTATTGAAAAACTCTGTTAGATAAAGGACATTGATCAATCTAAAAAAATTGACAAACAATACGAATCTGTGAAAAATATTTCTGAAAAATGTATAATTTGATTAAAAAAATAATTACATGTATTGTGAAATTAATAAGATTTAATATTTTTTTTAAAACAAGGAAATATGTGTGAGAAATACATACCAATCAGTGTTTACTAATATGTTGGGAAATTCTTCAGTATCTGAATTATCCTCTTCCGAACCAGTGCCTTGCATACGGTCACTGGTAGCAGCCAAAGGTTCAAATTGATAAGGTCTTACATCAATTTCCCGAGAAAAATCTACACTTGGAATATCCCCTTCCAAGGTCTCCATAATTTTAATATACTTTTATTGTGTTTTATGTGTGTAAGGAAGGCATATAAACACTGCATAATTGTAATGCATGATAACAGGAGAACTTGTGACGTCACAGCCTGTAGCTCATTATCTCTTACTGCTGTCCTATCAGTGTTTGTGGTGAGTGTGGTCAGTAAAGCATTGATTACAGACATCTACTGGGGTTATAAGAGTTATATTTAGCACTTAAAAATAAAGATAAAAATTGTCAGAAATCTTTTTAAGAATTATTTTATTATATAGAAAAAATTATGTGATGTGGAACCATTTCAAAAAACATTGTCAAATTGGAAATGTCTTTTTCAAAGTAATCATTTAGCATAGGAGTTTTACACTACTATTAAATGCTATATGTAATACTGATAGTTGTTTCATCCCCCTTCCATGTGTATTTGGATGTGAGAGTGCAAAATAAGATACTGTGTTCATTTGTTATGTGAAATAATTTTGTTTTTACTAAACATAAACTGCATTTGAATTCTGGAAACTAGTATTTGGGTAGATAAACTAATGTACAAATTAAAATACAAAGGTCACTTCACAAGTAATCACTTTGATATTTTGTGCAACATTGTCAAAAGTGTCGAAAAGTTGTATAGTCTTAGTTCAATAAATGGGACTTTGATGCATGACCCTGTCTTGACACATGTCTGGTCTTTGTCAATTTGACATATTTTTCATGTTTAACTAAATTTTAAGTAAACTTGTCTACACACAGACAAACAGAAAAACAAAATCAGTATATCTTGGGAGTACAAAATAATATTAAATATATAAAAATACTCACGCAGCACCACGTTTTTCAATGAGGAAGAGGAAAATGCTCTTCTATCACCCCTCCCTAGCCAGTTCATTTTCTTTGCAACACCATTGTCTATCATGGAACTCGTAATTCTCCGTACACTTTGTTTTGTATTGTCTCCACAAATTGTTCCCAGTTTTCTTATCTAAAAGTACCCTGTGATTTTAATGCTTAATGATAGGCATACCATAATTCTTCAATTAATACTTCAACTGCAATTCAGACCTTATTCATCCTGGCCTCTTGGGGAAATGTGTCATCAGAGTTGCGGGGTAGAAGCCTTGCGCCTATTAAGCCTAAAATTTCGCAGGACTCACTCCTGCCAGAACTTCGCATGCGTAAAAAATGCAAAGCCCATGAGGACCTCAGTCAATATATTCCAGAATCAGCCTCGTACCATCTCGCGACGTAAACAACAGTCACGACAACAGTCCAGACAGAAATCTTGTCCCTTTATTAAAGACAGCAGGACGACCAGACAAACACTTTCTAAGCAAATGTGCATTGGGCCGTCATTTTATTGCTAAGGCTCTCGTCATTTTTTAAATCTATAAACAAGATGAGTAAATCATGTGTGACATAGTAGATCTGGAGAAGAAAAACATATGAAAAAATTAAGACGGAAAAACAGACGGACAACGGAAAGAAGTGATCAGAAGAGCTCACTTGAGCTTCTCAGCTCAGGAGAGCCAATCGGCAATCCTCGGCTGACTCTGCTAAGCTCCATACAAACATCGGATGTGATTGGTGGAGGAATATGCATCAATCGATACATTTTTCCGCCGGAAACTGCCTTGTTACCCATTTCATACTTCACTGCATAAAGTTTTACCGTTTTTTTGTTTAATTTGTACATTGGTTTTGATTACAAGCTTATGTAAGTAGTCTTTGAAAGCAAAAACATAGTGTCTCAAAGTAACTTAGTCCGAAATATCGGACATTTTCCAGGCTTTTTTCACAATTTTGATATTTTACGTGCCAGGAAAACGTTCCTGGCATGTAAAATACCAAAATAGTAAAAAAGCCATATTTCGGACTAAAAGTAACTCAGCTTCCAAAGATAAAATATTTGGAGGAATTTCAATCAGATAACATGAGGGTGAAATGAAAAAAAATGACCACCAAACTGAATTTTTTTGGCAAAATTCAGCTACTTATAACATATTTTTCACTTATATCATCATATTGCAAATGCATTCTAGTTCAAAGTCCTGAAGCGGCAATGGAAAAGACAATTGGATAAAAAAGTTTCAGAATTTTTATTAGTAAAATTTCTTTTGAAAAAAGAAAATATCATTACACCTTGAAAGACTTTCTAAAATACATAATCACAAGAAATTATAGTTTTTTTATGCTTCAAAATGGTAAAAAGGGTATAAATGATTAAATCTATACCTTGAATGAGTATCTTCTCTTGTACATGTGACAAAAAATTGGCTTTTTGATTGTTATTTTACATTATTTTTTCAATTCTGGATTGAAAAGTTTTAATATGAAAAAAATATGAAGCAATAAAATTCCCCAAAGTTCACTTTTTTGTCCGTTCAAGTCAATTCTTTAAATCTAGGCCAAAAAAGAATTGTTATATACGAGTTCTCTTACAAAAAATACTAGATTTTGAAGTGACCCTATTTTACATTATTGTATTGTACTCCTGACATCTGATATGTATTCTATTTAACATTGTTTTAAAAATTATAACACATAATAACCCATTCTTACTTTGTAAATCAATTTGTCGTGTTGATATTTTTCATCGTTTACAGCAGGTTTTTCATATTTTGAAGACCTTAAAACATGATTATTTGCAAAGTGTAATATATATAAATTGTATTTAAAATATATGTGAAATGATGAAAAATATTCCCTGAATTGACTGTAAATTTTCTGTAATTTGTTGATAGACATAGTGTTTTGAACATCAAATAGAATCAAGCATTTTTTTTCCCAACTTATTGTTTAGTAAACATAGTTAAAAAGCATCGGTAATTATGAACCAGTTTTGTTGCACTCCTGACTGCAGTAAAGTTTAAAATTAAAATCATAGAACACAAAAATTCATAAAGTGTTGGCAACATCAAGTGGTAATGAAATTGTGCAATACTTATAGTCCAATACTTCATAATTAAACAGATGAAAGTATTTAAAATTCACATTTTCTCTGGAATTATACCCTATTTTATGCCAAAAAACTAGCTTAAATGTATATTTAGAAGATAAAATATATTTTAAAGCATATTTTCCTTTAGAAGACAAACACAGTAACCCATCAGAAAAATTCTACTCATCATTTTTTCTTTATTTTTATTCTTACTGGATGATTTATAATTCTAACATATTTGTTGAACTCCTGACCAAAAGCATTGGTGCCTTTAAAGTAGAATTGTGAAGTGAAAATTACGTAAGAACTTGTTCTGTTGTTTCAGTGAAGTTGAGGAGGAATTACTTGAATTTCATGACAATGTTTTAGTGTGTTTTTTTTTTTTAACGTTCATTAAAAAATCGCAAAA